TTTGGGCGAAGGCAGGCAGGGGAACAAGGTCATCCAAAAGCTCTTTGCAACGCGGAGGCCACCCTCTCCTCCCTGGAGCATGAAACCCTCCATGCAGCAGTAGGCTAAGAGGCAGAGACCCCCTCCGAGCCCCACGCACTGCTATGCCCTCTCCACGACATGCTCCCCACTCCAGCACCATCGCCCTCCCAGGTTCAAAGTTCCTGAGAGGCACCACACACCCTATGCCATCACTTATAAACCCTCCCACCCCATGTGCAACGGTGCCAGCGGCAACACCTTCGCAGGAGGCGGTCCCCCATCCTGGGGAGCACCAGCAGCCGCCCCATGCCACCAGCCCCAGGCAGGGGCTGTCCCGGGGCTCCTCAGAGCCAACGTGTCCTGGGGCAGGAGCGGAGGGAAGAAGCACCTGGCCCACTCCCACTGCTTCAGAGGGTATTAACTAAAATACAGCAAAGTGCGTTTACTGATTAACTTGGAGACAATTTAATACTGAAGTGAAAAAGCCATAAAGCATTTAGACAGATGGCAACTGCCCAAAGGAAAACATATCTGGCTCTCTACAGATGCCTCTGGTATGGACTTTAGTAGAGGGGTTGTCTGCAGTTATACCTTACAGCTCAGCAACAAACATTTCTGGACACTTTGTGGTCATCTTTTAGTGAGAACCACTGTCCACCAATGCCATCTCCCATGCTCAGGGGGCAGCATGAGAAGTCCCATGCCAAGCTCTGAAGGGGGGCTGCAGTCCTGAAGCTGGCAGAAAAGTTACAGCATTGCCATGGGAGGGAGAAAAAAAAATCAAAAGGAAAAAACAGGGAGAGCATGATCCTATTTGTTAATATTTATTATGGGTTTTGATATACTTTGACATGACACAGGTCAGCGGAGGGGCAAGGTCCCGGCTTTGTGCACCTCCAGGAGGCCATCTTGTCAGGCAGCCTGGGAAGGAGGAAATGGCGGCTCTCCTCAGGGGACCACACCGGGGCAGGCCCTTGCCTCCTGCACCCACCTGCCATGGCCTGGCTGGTGGAAGGCGATCTCCACAGTAGTCTCCCCAGTAGTCCAGCCATGAAGGAGCTGGATGCTATCCTATTCAAAGCCATGAAGGACCATCGTGAGGCTTGCTGTCAACTTTTCAACTTTTCTTCATGGGGATAAAACAAGGGGCCCCCTGAGAAGCATTTTTCTTTTTTTTTTTTGAGGCTCCATTAATGTCTTGCTGGAGCAGCGAGATCACTTGCAAGGTAGAGAAGTATCCAGTGCCTTTTCCTTGCATGTCACCAGTTTTTGCTCTGTCTTGAAGTGTGGGGAAGAGAAGGGCACAAGGAAACTGGAAACACTGAATTAGCAGTGACTGGCTGTCAGGAGAAAGTGTCCCTCACTGGTAAATTAGTACAGCTTTCTCTGATCAGGTGCCCTGCATTTTCTCCAAGGCATTACCTCCAGACATCAGGTCACTCTCTCAGACACCAAAACCCGTGCGAGATGATCGGCTGGCCTGCGCCAATAAGGCAATCCCAATGGCTGCCAGGTAATGCTGGTTTCACTCCAGTTCCTACAGGACACACAAATGCAGGGCAGCCAGCTTCCTCTGGGCCAGTCCAGGACAGAGGACAGGTGCTGAAGGAGTCACACAAGGCACATCATCTTCTTCCCAGATGGCTGTGATCCTCCACATGCCATGGTAAATTCCCAGACAAAAGGTCGTAACTCTTGACATTCAACGAACTGCTTCACCTTCTGGGGTGTGGTGTGCCATGTCAACATAGCAGGACACAGTTTTAGGAAGTAAAGCATATTTTCCTCACCTGACATTTGCATACATCCATATCTGTCAGGCTCAGCACACAGCTCTGCAGCTCTTCACCCACTGGCAAAACTCAGCCCGTGCACAGCTGCGTTGCCTCCCTGTTATTGCAGTCTGTGCCTGGGAGAGCTGGGCTGGTGCGCACAGCCCTCCCCTGCAGCTCTGCCAAAGCAAGCTGGCCCTGCAGTACCCTCTGCTGTTTCGCTGCTGACATGTCCCAGGAGGCAATTTTCACTGCTCAGTTGCCTTTGTTAGGGAGTGGGAACATGAACACATTTCCTATCCCCTCCTAAAAGGAGGGATGCAAAGAAGCAAGCTGTGCCCTCTTCAAAAACCTCTTCCCTGGGAACCACCTCCATTCTCACATGCCAGGGACTCCTCTGCCAGAGAGTGGAGAGCACTCATGCACCCTTGGGTGGGCTGAGATGCTAAAAACCATCGATCACGTATCCCTTCCCTTATCCTCTGATCAGCACTGCAGTGAAAGATGTGCCTTTGAGTGGTAGCTAATTGGAGACAAAGGCCAGCAGGGGAGGAAGATGTTATTACCCACCTTCCCCATCCAGAACATTTACGTAGGGTAGAAATGAGAAAGGAGGTACCAGTCAGGGAGACATCTCAGCTTGTCATAAAAGAGCCCAGCTGCTCTGTTACAAAGCAGCCATCAGTTACCAGGAACATATAAAACAGCAAGAAAAGATATTTCCCTTCTGACAATTTTGAGTGAGGAGGGGGAAAAAAAAAGTCAACTTGATCTCAGGAAGAGTGATCAAGTTGCTGCCAGGTTAAAAACAACAGCAAGAAAAGCTTTAATGTTCAAGTAGAAGAAAAAAAACAGAAGGGGTATGGACAGTCAGCTCCATTAAGACAAAGCTCTTTAGGCAACACACAGTTATAAACTGCTTCAGCAACATTCAGTCTCAGCAACACAAACTGAAAGCTTCTTTTTGTCAGGGATCCCTTTGATATTTCCTTGCTTGAAGTTATGTCTCTACCATGCAGGGGAAGGGCTTTCAGAGAAGGAAGAAAGCTAGAAGTGGTATGCATATGAGTTATCCCCAGGCACCTGTTACCATTTTACTTTGCCATTATATCAAGTGACCAGTTGATTTATACCATCCTGAAATCATATCCTGATTTTTCAAGGAGCCAGAGAGAAATATATGCACTGCTAAGAGCTGGCAGTTCACCAGTCCTAATGTTCTCTTCTGGAGGACACTGGCAAGAGGCCAAGCAACAGGCCGCTGGATGCACAATACCCCACACTCCATCTCATTAGGGCATGGGACTCAAGACACCCTAGACCTCTCCTGTGGTTACAGGAGAAAAGCTGCTGTGGAGGACAACTCAGAGTAGAAGCTTCTGTTTTTCCCCTGATACAGAGATGCTCATCTGCTCTGCCTAAAGTTACCCCATAACACCCATGCAGTAACATATTTGCCCATCACTCAGACACTTCAACACAAAGCAACAATTCGAATTAGCATCGCTTTCACACAGCAGATTAAAGTCCAGCATGACTTCCAGCCCCCACTCCACACTGAGGGCCAAACTCTCTCTCTCTCTGCTCCAGCTAGAGACATATGAACAGGCTCCACACTTCTGAAGTACTAGGTCTACCTGCCATCCACAAGGCACAGGAATCACAACACGTATCGGGATCACAGTACCTCAAAACACTCTAAAAATCTTAAGTTACTTTTGTCCTGCAAACACCCACAAAAGTAAGGGGAAACTATAAAACCTACTATTTGTCTGCAACTGAAATGTGACTAGCTCAGGGATAGCAGGACTGTGCTTTGCTTAAGGATAGGAAGAGAAGATTATCCTACAAAGCTGGACAGCAGGGAAAGTGGAGAGAAGCGGGATGTACCAGAAGGTAGCTAGGGCTCAGCATTTCTCTCCCGTGAAGGACGCCATGGTGTTTTTAGGGACTGTGAGCTAGGAGGATATCAGCAGGA